CCCAAAACCCCAAAACCCCAAAACCCCAAAACCCCAAAACCCCAAAACCCCAATAATTGGAGACTTTATTGATAATCCAAATCTGATAAATTAACATTATATAACGTACCGTAATTAACCTTTACAAGGAAGCCACATAAACAAAGGGGGATATATTAAAAAGATACTGATGGAACCAGAGTCTAAGCTAAGTCAAGAACACATAGCATTTACTTCTTTAAGAGTGATAATTAATACTAAATTATTAGCAAAACACAGAGATCAAGAGAAAGTGTAATTTCCACCTCACGTTTGTTAAATTATTCGTCATTTATACTTTCGTATCCCGGTCGCTGTCTGAAAGAGCGTCCAATGACTCTCCCACCGCTTTTCCAGGATTCTCTGTGTCTATTAATTCTAGGTAAGGAAATTTCCTCTTTTCATAAAGGACAGGCCATTCATTCGTCAAGCCATCTGCTTAGGCATGGTTCATGGAAGAAATGTCGATCGTCTCAAGGGAGCACCACAACCTTGCATCCTGGAACAAAGGCTTCGAGGCAGATAGTGCACTCAGTTTCTTCCTCCTTATCATCTGGGCTATAAAAGGCTATATTCCTTTTGAACTTTGGTTCATAAAGGTCTTAACAAATAATACAGAAAGTGTCGAAAAATCTGGTAGCAGAGTTTAGCATTTCCTAAAACTTAATGGCCAACATGGACAAAAATAAGCCAGCTCGGTTTGAAACTAGAAGCTAGAGTGCCGACGCATATCTGGCACTTGAATTACCTTTGGAATATCTTTCTGACAAGCCTGTTGAAGATCCTTCTTCTCCTTCTCTGAGCCCTCGTCCTTGCTCTTGATTGGATTCAACGATTGATGAAATAATAAGGTATCAGAATCGCACCTAAAATTATATTGCACCTCTAGACTCTAAGCTTTGGGAACCTTGACTTCCTCTCAAAGTGGCCTCTGTGAGATAAAATGTCGAAATTGGCCTGACAAGTGGGATTATATCGGACAATAGCAGCAATAATAAAGAATAAAGTTCCAAAAAGTTCGAAGAAGAGGCCAAATTTATACTCATTTAGTTTACTCCGTCTTTGACGATATTGAGATGCTCCGATGTTATCCATATCTGATTGGAGAAGTTGTCCTGTAGAGTCTGGGTCTGCCTCCATATCTAAGAAATATTATAAGGTTCACATGAAATTGATGGAAGGGGTTTTGGGGTTTTGGGGTTTTGGGGTTTTGGGG